GTCACTTCCACCTCCACCAGAAACTCTCCCTCTGAGTGCCAGAATATACCAGACCTTATATACAGCTGCCAGTTTGATGGATCTTCTTGAATGTTTCAAAGGAACTTTAGTCTCGATACATTCAAAATTATGAGTCAGATAATAAAATTAATAAAACAGCTATCATTTATTCAGCACTTACTATGTGATACTGTCCCAACCGTTTTACATAAAAATCTCATTTAATCTTTTACAAACAGGGAAACTGAGGCACATAGAAATTTCCCCCAAACCCCAGCTGGTAGAAAGCAGTGTTTTCAAATCTAGGCAACCTAACTCCAGAGCCTGGGTTCTTATCCCCTAGGCTACACAGCCTGCTCCTGCTTTCCTAATCCCTAATCTGATGCATCCTGGTTCCTCTTTTGGTGTTCACAATTGAGGAGAACGGCACCAGCATCCAGGGCCTCTCACCTGTGCCACGGCAGCAGCTCTGAACTGGCTTCCACGTGGTCACCCCTCCCTCCTCCTCCCACCCCACTGCTTTCTGCACTGCAGTCAGTGTGATTTTTTTCAAGTCATAACTCTGATTGGGTTATCTCCCTGTCCACTCCTCCCACCCTCATATACCCATACACCTCCTCCAAAGTTCAGTCCCATTGCTCTTAAAAAACAAAAACAAAAAACCTGACAAACATGAACAACAGGGACCGAAGTATCCAGTTTTTACTCAAGTGTTCTAGTTTCTGCCGTCTCCCTGGCTTAGTCCTCTGATGTAGCCTGTGTCTGGAATGTTCCTTTTGCCCCTTCTTACCCTAGTAATTTGTTATGTTTAGCTCAAGTGACATTTCCTTGGGAAATCTTTTGGGACTGGACAGACTATGGCAAATATCTTTACATTATGGTAGCACATGGTCTTTTTTCTTCATAGATCTCATTCATATTTATCATTTCTATTTTTTGCATGTGATTTTTTATTAAGTTTCATTTCTTTTTGAAAGAAGGGGCTAAAATTGTATGCTTAGTGCCTGGCACAGTGCCTTGCACACAGAAGCACAATAAACATTTGTTGAATAAATAAATGAACACAGCCAAAGTCTCCAGATGCTAAACAGAAAAACCAACATCATATTTCATCAAGAAATATACTTACACTCACTGATTCATCTGTTTCTGGAGTTTCTGCTGTTCCACTGTCGTAGTTTCCCAATTGAGCCATTTCTAAGTTAAAAAAAAAAAAAAAGGTAAGCTTAATAAAAATATTGCAATTGGATAAGAATACTAAGCTGAAACAAAAGAAAAATAGTTTCTCCAATATTAAAAAAATTGCTCTATATTCCAATGTGCCTATGGGAAAATCTTAAATCTAAAAAAAGGCAGCAACTGGTATTTTGAAATTGTTCACTACATGCCCCTCCCCAGAACCCCGTTTCTTGCAAACACCTAGACATAGGAACTTTAGAGGCTGGGCATAGGAACTAATTGGCTGATGCAATCACCATAGCTTGGAAAGGCTTTGGTGGGTCAACAACTCTGCTTAGAATCAGGTATCCGAGAGAGGTAAGTCTTTCCAGGCTCTGGCGGGCATCAAAGCAGCACTGACTACAGCTAGGGAACGATTCTTAAGTTGTGGTTCATATCTCTTGTTCCATTCCTTCATATCCACTGAGAAATACCCTGCCAAAGACACTAAGAGTTTGAAATTTGTCAGAGAGGAAGTAATAATGGTGGTTAAGAGGGATTTGGATATTAAAAGACTTAGGTTACCACTACTATCTGCATTTACTGACTGACTGACCTTTTAACTTCAAGCTCTTCTGCTGTAAAACGTAAACAATATTACTTACTTCTTAGAGCTTTTTGTGAGTACTGTATGTGATAATGCATGTAAAGCTCTTAGCATACTAATAAAAATTAAATGCTTACTAAATGTTGACTGTTATTTATTATTAATTATATTGTGTAATCAGCCTTGGATTGGGTATCACATGCTTGACACTAGCTTTAAGTACTACCCTGATGATTCAGTTAAGAGACAAAAGTGTCTAAATTGATCAATTCGCATTGGAATACATCCTTGAATTTATAGAAGTAGATGAGAAAATCAAATTCTTTTACTGTTCATTTTTTTAAACTTTTAAAAAATCATTTTTTATTTAAAAAACATGAAATAATTTTCTCTAAAACTATGATAGGTCTTAGCTCAGTGACAGGATCAGAGATAATATTTTCTTCTTTTACTTGTACTTTCCAATTTTTCAAAATTGAACATGCATAATAAAAGTCAGTTTTTAGTTACATATTTTTGTGTGCATCTAAATATATTTAAAATTTTCAATTTAAATAAACTTAATTTTATTTAAAATTAAATAATTAAAAATTTCTTAGGTTCTTATTTTCTGTATTCACGTTCTCATAAATATGATCATCCCTTCTGGGCAGATATTATGCATAAGAGATACGAAGCAAAACAACATTGGAGTATTACCTTTAGATAAAAATTTATAAATTCTAGATTCTGGAATAAGTGGACATTGACAACAACCTTCTCAGTTTACCTATAGGGGAAATTCCAGAATAAAAATGAGTTCAGCGCAAACTATGTACTTTCTTGGTCTCATTCAAATGATGTCAATGTCCAATATGACTAGCACCTTAGATTTGTGGACTTGGAGGTGAACTAAAATGCATCTAGTTGGAAGGGCTCTCAAGGAAAGGGACAAATATTAATAGTGTTTAAATAAAACAGCAACAGCAGCTAACATCTATTAAACACTTACTATGTTAAACAATTACAAATATAAACATATAATCCTCAAAACAATCCTATAAGTAGATGCTATTATTATCTCTTTTTTTTTTTTTTTGAGACGGAGTCAGCGTGGCTGGAGTGCAGTGGTGCGATCTCGGCTCACTGCAAGCTCCGCCTCCCGGGTTCACGCCATTCTTCTGCCTCAGCCTCCCGAGTAGCTGGGACTATAGGCGCCCGCCACCACGCCCAGCTAATTTTTGTATTTTTACTAGAGACGGGTTTCACCATGTTGGCCAGGCTACTCTCAAACTCCTGACCTCAGTTGATCCACTCACCGTGGTGCAATTGTTTATTAAATTACCTGGAGAAGTCATATTTCAAATGTTAACAAATAGATTAAAAACTAGCCTCAGGGCCAGGTACCCTGGCTCATGCCTGTAATGCCGGCACTTTGGGAGGCGGAGGCAGGCAGATCACCTGAGGTTAGGAGTTCGAGACCAGCCTGGCCAACATGGTAAAACCTTGTCTCTACTAAAAATATAAAAATTAGCTGGGCATGGTGACACACGTCTGTAGTCCCAGATACTCGGGAGGCTGAGGCAGGAGAATCACTTGAACTGAGGAGGCAGAGGTTGCAGTGAGCTGAGATCATACCACTGCACTCCAGCCTGGGCAACGAAGCAAGACTTCGTCTCCAAAAAAAAATCAAAAAAAAAAAAAACAAAAAAAAACCCACCCCAAAAAACAAACAAAAACTAGCCTCAGATCTTAAATT